TATTTTGTATTGTTTATTAACAGCTACCGCATCACGAATCACTCGAAATACGAATGGTAATCGTTATGAGAATGTATTCTTTGGCCTATCAGTCGAACAACCTAACGGATGGGATTCACAGAATCCAATACCAATGGCTAAACGATTTCAACTCATTAGCACAAAACTTTTCGATAATAACAATGACTTAATGCAGGAGAAGCCTGACTCTACCATAAAAAGAGGCGGTGCCTCTTTTCGGCTTTTTAACGTATCCACCGAACATCTTTAATGTAAAAATGAATCCAACTATTATGACAGTTGCTGAGAATATTGAGGCTGATTTGGATATAAAAGCCGCTTGTGATTATCTAAATCTTGCCAGAGAACCACTCAACCAAACATTATTTAGGATCGACTTTCTTGACAAATGCCATGAAGTTGATGTGAATGAAGAAATGTTTGCTACACAGTCATTCACCATGAAAATTCTGGGCGCACCAATAATCAAACAAACTCAATATGCTAAAATGAGAAAAAAGGACTATTTTCTTTATTTTTACCTATTTCAATCATATCAGAAAAAGCAAGCTTGACAATGTCATGTACAGCTTCAAGTTTTTACATCAATAATATTTCATATTTTTTTCTTGAAAAAATTCTATTATTGCAAAATAAATAACTTATTTGTTTTTCTAGAGTATAAATGTCCTCACTTTATTGTAGAACTTAATGGCACTTGAGCAATACACTCTATTCCATTATAGAATATGACAGATACTTTAGTAATAGTATAGTCACTTTTTGCATATGTATATGAATTATGATGGGATAACTATGTGACAGACGTTGATTGCAAGATAAGTATGAAAGACGATGAAATTTTACATGGATTTCTTTCATTCTTCTTTCTTGTCTACTATCATACATTATGATTAATATCTTTCATCATTGATACATATTAATACTGGTTAGAAATTCATTAACAGAAACATTTCGATGAATTCCTTTCTTACAATAACACTATCTCCATCATATTTCATATTTTAATCGTGTTGAGATTGTGCTAACAGCGAGCATAATTGTACATAATTTGATTAGGGTTCTTTGACATATGTCAAATATTATAGTAAGAATGAGAAAAACATTTTACACCGACAAAACCAAAAAGCAAAAACAAAAAACAACCGTTTCTTTTTAAATCGTTATTCAATTTGGTTTCGTTATACCAATGTGAACATCTATGTGTGGAACACTTGGAAAATAAATTCAGCACAGTATTTTCTTGTTTTTTAGAATAAACAACTTTCTGCAACTATTTTTCATGATACGAGATATTTTTGATTTAATTCATTAAATAACATCCAAGAAAAAAAACCACTTACAATTTGCATTCTGTTGTGATAAAAAGAAAAAAACATGGTCAATGATATAGAATTCATTTCAAGATAATCTATATGTATTCCACACAAATCATGAAAAATGACCAGATCAACATCAAATTTGACAATGAAAACGGAACAACAGCAATAAAGACCAAAAAAAATTAACATAATGAAAGAGAAAAATTAACAAAAGAATATCGAAATTTTTTTAATAATATTTTATCTTTGTACATTATATATAAAATTCATTAGATTTTCTTTTTCATAGAAATAACCAAAAGAAAATTTTTATACTTGTCTCTTTGTTTAACGTTTAGCTTTTTTGTTTGCTGGTAAACAATCACGTGGAAATGCACGTTTACGATCGCAATGGAAATTTCTACAAATCAAAAATGAAAAAGATAAGATTTCCAAACATGTTACAAAACGACTTTTATTCTGAAAATAAATTTTCACATTTAATGTCACTAAATTTGGAAAAGACATGTTGGAATCAATTATTGTCAACTAAAAAGAAAAAAGAAAAAAGATTCAATTGATAATCATCAACAGATCAAGAAACTTGTTCTCGTAATTTTTCAATCATAGTAAACAATAGCTGGAGGGTGTGGGTGTGGGCGTGACTGAAAGAACAACACCCACACCGTTATTTATTTCATTCGATAATCTACTTCCAATTGATAAGCTTTAGCATCTTTTTTTTATGTTGTATAACTTGATTAATAATAATTTGAAGTTGATGTTGACAGTTCTTTTGCCTCTGTTTCAAATCTGCAATCTGAGAATAAAGAAACTAGCTGCAGTGAAAAATAAAAATAAAAAATAGAAAGAGAAATTTCTCACTTCTTTACTATAATCGTTATCACCTGCATTGAAACCACTTGTACCCATCAGAGATGGACAAAATCGCACCGCGCCTCCCCGCGCCTAGGCGCTAGCCACATCTCTCTTTCTCTTTGCTCTACCAATCAGTTTCTCAAACTCCACCGAATACCGGGATGCTCTAAGCATGCGCTCATCGAAGCTCAGACTAGTGTAGCGTAGGCGTGAGCAGCGGCGCGGGGAGGCGCGGTGCGATTTTGTCCATCTCTGGTACCCATGATGAAGAATGTTAAACTAAAATGAAAAATAACCATAAATATAAAAAACATTGTGGAATATATTAATTTGAATAAAAAACTTTTAAAAAAAATGTTTTTGTTTAATATAAGGTCATATCAGCAAATCATTGTCGCTGAATGTGTGTACATATAGTAAACAATGAATAGAATAAATAATGATCAGTTTTAGTGCATCAGTTAGAAAAGACGAAGAAAAGTCCACATGTATTCATTTAAAAGATTATTATAGCAATCGATACAAAGGAAATAATATTCAAATTCAGAATAGAGAGATATCCTTTAATAGAAGTTTTACTATATTACATAAACATTCAATCAGTATGAAACAAAAATTTCAAATGAAAGATTAACCTCTTTTTAATTCATAATGAAAAGATGTCAGAAATATACATAACGATTTTATGATTCTTTATTCAGTGAAAAATTATTGATAAATTCTCATGTATAAAGGGTGTCACGTAAGTTCTTATCCTCTTAGTCAAATATTTTTTTCTTACATATTTCTGCATTCGAAGAGATTGATTTTTTCAGTATTTATACTAGATGTCTAGATCTATTCTATACTAGAATTTCACGTTTCTACTTATTTCTATTACAATGATACAAGCATCATTGTCGAAAAATGTCAAGAAATGATGGAAACTATTGATAGATCAAAATGGAGAACAAATACATAGTCATTGATGAATGTTTTTTATTGTTTGTATAAATTGAATTTCGACTTGTAAATGTCTTTTCGAGCGGAACTATTTATGTTGCATTACAATCAAATATTCCTGATAATATTTCGACTTTTTTTTCTTATTTTTAGTGATATCTAGACATCTAGTATAAATACTGAAAATATCAGTCTCTTCGAATGCAGAAACATGTAAGAAAAAATATATTTGATGAGGGAATATCAGAACTTACGTGACACCCTTTATATTCAGAAAGTGCACAAAATTCTAATACAATGATTTTAATTTTTTACTGACTTCTATCTATCATCAGTGAAAAAATGAAGAAACATTTTGTTCAATAAACTTTCGTATCATAGATTAGTTCTTTTATTCAATATGCACAATTATTTTTGCATTGATTTTGCTTGGTATTGAACATACAGGTTCTATTCAGCAAGTATTATATCAAATAGATTTCAAACTTCGATGACTAATGAGAGAAGTTCTTCAACTAATAAATCATTTTTGAATTGACACTAAGTGCATTATGTAAGACTAGACATACCCTGAAAATAATTCGTGTCATTAGCTTAGTTCTGCACTTTTATGGTCTTCATCAGAAACTCGAGAAAAACTTAATTTTCAACTTTCGACTTGAAACTATGCATAGAAACAGGCGTCAAAGAGAATAGTTTGTGATAAATGTTTTCTGATCTAATTGCTGTTCCTATCGTAAGATACAGCTATGGTAATAGTGTATCTTTTACTTCGTTCATTTAAATCCAGCAGATTTGATGTTTTTATTTCAGGATAGAAGCAAATTAAAAGATCTGAAACTATTCTGGTTAAAATTTATCGCTATACAAAGTTCTCGGTCTAAATTCAAAAATCAGGTTTTTCCAGTGTTCCTGTGAGGGGACCACGGTATTTATTTAAAAAATATAATAAAAGTACAGTATCTCTGTGGTAATAAGCTAAAGACACGAATCATTTTCAGGGTATTCATAGTATTGAATGACTTGCCTCGTAAGTGTCTACGTTGTTCGATATATATCCATAAGATACTGTATTTAAACCTCAGTGTCACCAGTCATGAAATGACTCTGAACGGTTTTTTTGTCTTGGACCATTCGGTCTTATAGCATGCTGACTACTTTGTGATATACACCAGTCCTTATAGCAAGTTAATGTGTATGGCCCCTGACCGACTTTCTGTTCGGAGTTAAACGTAACATCAGTTGTCGACAAGATATCGAACTACTAAATCTACCGTTAGACAGTAACCCATACTCGAAAGCACGCGTATTTTTCTTTCCGAATAAAATTCGGCTTTGTTTCACCTTGTTGTTTTTCAGTTAACAAAAAATTTAATTCGTGTGTGTTTGACACTGAGTCATTACATATTTATTTGTCGTTTTCCAATGAATGTAAGATTTGTTTTTCTTATATCTCCTATCGAAAAAATGAATAATAATAATAAGAACAGACAAAAAAAAAAGAAAACGAAATACGAGCGCATCATTCGTGAGAAGAAAGAAAACCGAGAGAATGAATGAATGAATATACAACCGAAAAAATATTAAATGCGTGAGAGATATTTGATTGACTAAGAAAAGAGAAAGTTTTTTATTCATGCAAATATTGCACATAAAAACTGTTCGTTCTCGGATAGATATTCACGACAACGTCTCTTTTCTTTATCCTCACGCTCGTTTGTTTTGATTTTTTTTTTATACATAACACACACACACACACACACACATTTTACAGTATAGCTAAAACACGCATACAGTAACAGCAATTTCGAACAGAAATAGAGCCAAAAAAAAAACAAATAAACTTTTTTTTTTATTTTATTTTTGACGTGAACCGGAACCACGAGTTCCTTCATCATCATCATCATCAATACCGCCATAGAATGACTAAATAATAAAGAAATAAATTTAAAACAAAATAAAAAACGAAGGGAAACTTAATACATACTTGATTTGTTTCATCCATTGTTATATCTTCATCATCACTCATTATACGAGCTTTACGTCGATTAGTTGAACTATTACTTCCAGGACCAGATGTACGTGATTGAATTTGAGATTTCTAAATGTTAAAATATTCGATATAATTATTGAAGTTCCACACTGAAGATCTCAACAAAACTAGAGAAGCCGTCATGTCTGAGTGGTTATGCTAGTCGACACGTAACCACAAGGTACTGTGTGTAAACCTGAATATCACCAGCTATGGAATGACTTTGGACAAGTCACTAATGGCTATCTGTCTCGGATCACTCATCCGATAGCATGCTGACTACGTTGTGACATCCACCAGCCCTTGTAGTTAGTGTATATGGGAAATTCAAGCCATTAAGTGCAAGAACTGATCTTCTGTTCAGAGTTACAGTTTGTGATAGTTGTCGGGAAGATATTGTGTTACACAATCTATCAAGTAGCTGAAAGGTAGTGGTATCCTTTCTTTTAGTAAGACTGGAAAAACCCAAAAGATTTCGTCTCCGTAGATCTTAGAAGCCGAGTTATGGTCGTTATATTAAATTTTCGACCTTGCTTTTTGGTACTTACGAAAAAATCAAATAATGAAATTTCGATCTAAAATTAGAATATTCTAAAAGCCATAAGTACTATCTATGAACAAAATTTCAAGTTGAAAATTCAGTAAAACAGCCTTAATTCAACTCTCAAGGTTCATAGGAACAAACCCTTTTAGACTTTTTCTAGTGTTACTGGAACTCTCTTCTAAGCCTACTATAAACTCAAACGGCGGGTTATTGTTGATTTAGTTTATTATTACCTTTTTTATACTAGTTTCTTTCTTAACGCGTTTTTTGAGTGGTTCTAAAAATAAACAAAAATTCAAGATTAATATTTTGTTTGTTTTTTTTTATTTTTACCATCATCATCTGATTCATCTTCAGAATTTGAACTAATTGGTATTTCACCTTTGTCCAGACGTTCACGTGCATTAGTAAATACTGATTGAAGTATAATTGAATCTTCATAAATCTAAACAAAAAAAAAAATATTTATTTTAATTTTAATTTTATTTTGAAATATTACATTTGAATTTTCCATATTAAATTCTTGAGCATTTTTACATAAAAGCATAACATCAGCTTCAAGTTCATCAATACTTCGATAACGATATTCACTAAGTTTTTTCTATAGAAAGAAAAAATTTTTTGTATAAAAAAAAGAATTTATTTATAATCAAACTTTAATTTTATTAAAATCAACAGGATTTTTAATCATATCATAATATTCTGGTAATTCTTTTTGTGTTGGTAAACGCATAAATGGTTTACTTAAAATTCGATTATCATCACTAAAAAAACAAGAATTTAATTGAAAATAATTAAAATAATTCATTTTTTTTAAATACTTGTCTCGATATTTAATAACAAAATCTAATAAAGTTTGCATTTGTTTAAATAATTTTGATGGTATTGGTTCATTTAAATAATTTTTATTTGTTTCTTTTAATTTACGTTTCCCTATTCGTTTACTTGATTTAGAATCTATACTTTCAAAATCATTATCACCTTGTCGAATATCCATTTCATCATGTTGAATACCACTACTACCACCATCATCATCATCATCATCTATATCAACATTAAGAAGACGTCGTTTACGTCGACGTTTTTTATCTTGTTCAGTTGCATTTAATGTTCCATCTTCAATAGCCTGAATAAAAAACAAAAAAAAAATCATTTTTTGTTTTTTTCTAGACCATGACAATCATTTAAAAACTGTCATAAAAATGCAATAACTATAAGTTAAGAACACAAATTCTTTTCAAAGTAGTCTACATAATACAAGAAAGTTAAACCTTCTTTAAAATAAGTCAAAAGTATAATACCAAAATTCTCTCTATCAACCCAACTATGGGATCAAACGACGGATATCAGGTCGAATTGTGTAGTCAATACCTCAGTGAACCCTGTATCAGTATCTACATCATCACTGCACATTCCTAAACAAACGTTTGTATGGATCCGAATTAGTGGCGGAGCTCTCCTCATCTCAGAATCCTGGCTCCGCCACTAATCCGAGTCCAACCATAGGACTTATATACTTTAATCTAATGTCCAAAAATTATATTCTGTATGATATTTCTATTTAAATAATATAAAATTTTTCTTACCTTGAGCCATTCTTTCTCAGTTAATGAATCTGAATAATCTACTTCTTTTCGTTGTCTTGTACCACGTCCTAATAAATCTAATGTTTCTTGATCAATTAAAGCATTTTCTAATTCTTTTGGATCTTTTGTTAACCATGCTGGTAATTCTGATAATTCAAAAAGACGTGGTTTTCTATTAGGCATACGAGCTTCAGCATGTCGTCGTTCACGATCCATTCTCTAAAAACAAATTAGAATCAAAAAACATTATTTTTTTCTTTAATCTCTTTTACATTAAACAGATTATATTCATCTTCACTGCGTGCAATCATTTGATTAATAACTTCATCATCTGGTACTTCATCTTCTTCTTCATCACCTTCTTCTGTTTCCTGTAAAAGTATTTGTTGTAAAAATTGTCTTCGTTCATTTCCTGTTGATTTATTATTAAACATTCCAGCTTGAATAACTTTTTCATCAACATTTAATTTATAACGAGCTGCAGCTAAGATTTTTTCTTCAACACTATTTACAGTCATTAAACGTAGAACGCGAACTTCATTAACTTGACCAATACGATGTGCACGATCTTGTGCTTGTAAATCCTTAAAATAATAAAATAATTCTTCAACAACAAAAAAAAAAGACAAATTTTACTTGATGTGGATTCCAATCGGAATCAAATATAACAACTGTATCGGCTTTTTGTAAATTTAAACCTAAACCACCAGCACGTGTTGATAATAAAAATATGAAATAATCTGAATTAGCTTCACTAAATTTAGCTAATAAATCACCACGTTCTTCAGATTTTGTTTGACCATCAAGACGTAAATAAGTAAAATCTATTCAATAAAAACATGATTATTAGATTTTCAATCACTTTTGACTATAGAAAAAAATATACATGTAGACTTCCTCCATCTAATCATACCTGCAGTATCAAGTTCTACTGTACATGAGTAGCAGAGATGCTCATCGCGGCAGATTTTCAGACACGATGAGCATCTCTGTCATCTGTATGCAGTAGAACTTGATACTGAATACATCATTAGATAGAGGAAGCTTCCAAATCGTATAGTCGGCTTTAATAATTAGAAAAATAGAATATATCTATTTACTTTTATAAGCAAAATAATCTTCCATTATTGTCATGAGTGATGTCATCTGACAAAAAAGTAAAACACGATGATTTGTTACTTTTAATTTTGGTAATATACGATCGAGTAATTCAAATTTACCCGATGCACGATAAAGATCAGCTCTAAAGAATTTAAATTTATATAGAAAATAAAAGAACAAAAGAAAAAGTTTTTTTTTTTTTCTATACCCTAAACAAACACCACTTGTATAATTAAAATGGTTACAAAGTTTTTCTTCAATTTCATTAAACATAAATGGATGATTACATATTTTACGTAATTGCATTATTGTATTCATTAACGCTTTTGGATTACTTGCTTTACCATTCTAGAGAAAAGCACAAAAGTTTTTTTTTCAATATAATTATGATAGGATTTTGATTTTATGGATCAACAAAAAGGATTTGTAATAATCTCAAATGCACTTAAAAACATCAGTTTATGTTTCTTATCTACTTTCAAAAGTAATCAACATTAAGATAGTCTTAATAATCATAGACAATAGTGTCCGACATGAGTAATTTTTTTTTTCGAGATCAGACTGATAGAAAATTTTTACTAACATTCTAAAATAAAGTAGTGAAAAAAAGTTGAGAAACAACGATTTTTTTATGATGTTAAGCACATAGCTCCAATCCAAATAGTGATTTTAATAGCCTATGGAGTTGTCTGTCCAATACACTTTATAGCAAGATTTCACAGATGAACAATAATGGCAAGGCTCCTAAAAAACCTAATATGGTATTTTTCAAGTTCTAGATGGCTTTGCCAGAGCTATTTTTGAACGGTATCATCTTAAAGAGCACAAAATTCTGAGAAAAATCAGGGGTTACCGAATTTTCAACGACCTTCTCATAAAAAGTTACAGGCATCACAGAAATCATGAAAAAGGCGTTTTTAGTCGATTTTTAAAAAAATTTCGGGTTTTCATGATTTTTCCGTTCAAAAATAGCTCTGACAAAGTTTTCTAGAACCTGAAAAATACCGTGTTCGGTTTTTTAGGAGCCTTGCCATCATTATTCATCTGTGAAATCTTGCTATAAAGTGTATTGGATAGAAAACTTCATTGGCTATTAAAATCACTATTTGGATTGAAGCTACGTGCTTAATATTATGAAAAAAACCAAAAAAAATCGTTGTTTCTAAACATTTTTCCATCACTTTATATATCAAATGATGTGTTTAATAATTTGATTATCTATTCTTACTTTATCTTCTGTAAGAAGAATTCCACTTGTTTGCATTTGATTATACATAACTCTTTGTAATGCTGACATATCACATTTAATAACATATTCAATCTAAATAATCATTGTTTATTATAACAAAAATGAAGCAAAGTCTATATATATATATATGTTACTTTATCTGGTAATTGTGATTCAACTTCTTTTTTAAGTCGACGTAAAAGAAATGGTCGTAAAACTTTATGTAAACGTCTTATAATAAGTAATGTTTCTTCTGGATTAAGTTCAACTTTTTCACATGTTGTTGCAAATGGTGCATTAAACCATTGTTCAAATGTTGTACATGATTTAAAGATTGATGGTAAAAGAAAATTTAATAATGCCCATAATTCAGGTAATTTATTTTGTAATGGTGTACCAGTTAATAATAAACGATGTGGAGCAATATAAAATGTATTAAGTACTTGTGTTAATTTACAATGATGATTTTTCATTCGATGACCTTCGCTGAATAAGACAAAAAAAAAAAAGAAGAAGAAAATATTTAAAGACGAAAAGAACAAATTCCACAAACTCGATTATCATATAACGCCATCTGATTTTTGATAATAATGCTTTATCTTTGATAACATATTCATATGTTGTTAATAGAACATTAAATTTACCACTTCTTAATGTTTGACCAAGAGATTTACGTACTTGTGGATTACCTTTAAATATAATTGTTGAAACAGATGGTGACCATTTATTAAATTCATTAACCCAATTAGCTAATGTACTAGAAAAATACATGAAGATAAAGAAAACTTGTTTTTTGTTTTTTTTTCTACTTGATAATAACTTACGATAATGGTACAATGATTAAATAAGGTCCATTGACTTTTTTAACTTCCATTAAATATGTTACAAGAGCAATTGTTTGAATTGTCTAAATAAATAAAATTATTTCTTATGTATTCTATTTTTTTTTAATATCTGAGACAACAGTTTAGACTTAGGACGATTGAGAATTCATTCAATTAGGTCTTTTTTTTAAGTGTTGATTTTTTTTCCTGACCAGGGAACATTCGCTGTAAATTCACTAAAATCGTCCGATCTGGTCAGAAATAAGCCATAGGCATAAACTATTTTTCTAGTAAACATAATTCACTAAGGTTTTACAAAATACACTAAGTCCGATGCAAAAGTGATTGTGTTTTCTAATGTAGTTATTTTAATTATTACAGAAAATATTTTAATATCGGAAGAAGTCTGAGTCCTAGGATCGTGACGATCTATTATTAGCATTGTATGAGTATATCGCTTTAGTTAGAGACTTACGAGGGGTCCTCCTCAGATGTTCTCTTTTATCGAATTTTGATCTGAAATTTTATGCATATAGAGAACTTCGTCGTTAGTTCTTTTTTTTTCGAAAATATTTCGACACAAACAAAAAAAAAAGAATTTACCTTTCCGAGACCCATTTCATCAGCAAGAATTCCATTAAGATGATTATTATATAATGAAACAAGCCATTCTAAACCTTGTATTTGATATGGTTTAAGTATTCCTCCAACAAGTAATAACGATTGTTTAGTAACACGTTCTCTAACACGATGTGCAACAGCATAATATGAATCAAGTGATGATGTATGATATTCATCATCTTCAGTTGCTTGTTTAGCTTTTGTTAAAACTTCTTTAACAACATTTTCATCTTCAACAACACCTTTTTCTTGTTCATCAGGTGTTGGTATTGGTATTGGTATTGGTATTGGTATTGAATTTGTTGTTTCAGGTAAACGTGCTATATCATCATCTTCATCATCACTTGTATCTCTTGGTATTGGTTGCCAATCAGGATTTTTTTCTAACCATAAATTTAAGTCTGATGATAATGGTGCATCAAAACCATCTTTTATTTCACCTGTTATCATATTTTTAACTTTAATACGTAAAGGATTTTGTTCATCTTTTATTTGATAATGATTATTATTATCATTAAAATACTGTTTTTTTTCCATTTTTTTCTTTTTTAAATCATTTTGATGTTCTTTAACAAGATTAACTAAACTTATTATATATGCATCTGTTTGTGATAATAAATAAGCTAAACGTTTATCTTTTTTTTCATCAATTAATTTTCTATAACCATCTTCATCTTCATTCATTAAACGACGCATACGTTCACGTTCACGTTTTTCTTGTTCTTTTTTTTTGTTCACGTTCTGTATTTTGATGCCATGATAATATTGAACGTGCTAATTTATTTGTTTTTAATTGTACAGATTTATGAAATTCTTTAAATTCACGTGCAACTGTTAATACAGCTGTTAAATATTCTTGATGTTTTTGACGACGTTTACGATCAATTTCAGCTTTTTGTTGTTTTTCTAATTTTTCTGTTGCGCGTGCTTCACGCATACCAAATTGTTTTGAACGTTTATATAAACGTGGATTATTACCGGTTTCAAGACTTGAGTCCAAACGCATACATGTTACTACTTCAGTGCGAAGCTAAATAAGAAAAATACAAAAAAAAAAAAAAATAATGAATTTAGAGAATTGCGGATCGACATTTTTGTGACCGTGAACAGATTTAGGCTCGAATTTTTAGTTAATTATAGATTATTCGTACGAGGGAACATTTCCAGGTGTCTAACTAACAGTCAAATCAAAACCTTCAGCTATACGGAATAAATCTCTTGTCGTAATAGAAGCCCTGAGGCTTCTATGTTGGAGAGTGGGTTAGTTTTGTGTAAGCATAGAAAAATCTATTCGAGAATTTATTCATGTCACGCCTAACATAATTTTTCTATACTAAAAATTTGCCATTCATCATTCATAGAATATTATTTTTTTTTTGTCTACGAACCTGTCTTTGAAAATTTAATAATTTAAGTGCTTTAAGTTCAATCATAGCTCTCATTCGTAAATCATCTTGTATTAATGTTGGTAGAAGTTTTTCAAGTTCACTTATACGTATAACTATATTATGTTGTATACGAAGATCACGTTCAACAAGAATTTCTTGTATATCAAGACCAGTTGGTTTTTGTATTGGTGTTAAACGAAGATTATTCATACGATTTGTTGTTGATGATAATGTTGATGATGTTGTTGTTGTTGCTGCTGTTGTTGTATTAGTTGAAGGAAGTGATACATTTGTTAAAACATTCTCAGTTGTTGATGGTGTTTGATTAATAATATTTGTTGATGTTTGAACAGTTCCTGTTTGATAATTTATATTTGAATTTCCATTAACTTGAACAGATGGTGAATAATAATTTTGTTGTGTTTGAAAACGTAAATTTGTACCATTATTTATTGGTGGTTTTGTAGTTGTATTAATTGATGAATTATAACGAGTATCAACTGTTGGACTAGATGATTGTTTTGTAATAACAGCATTTGGTGGATAAAATTGTTGTTGTGGTTGTTGACTACGTTTAATAGCTATAAGATGTTGTTCAGGTATAGTTTGATTACGTATAAGATATTTATAAGCATTTATTTGATGATTAAATAAATTTGATTGAATAGAATTCATTGTCATATTTGTTGATGATGAATTTGAAGATGTATTCATCATTTGATTATCTGTTACATTTGAATTTGACATATAAACTAAAATATATATGTATAAAAATTAAATTTATTAAAATATTTTAAATACTTGTTTGTTGTTGTTGTGAAGGTGGTGCCGTTTGATTCAACATCATTGGACGTTATTGATCTTTTGCTAGAATTTTCTAAATACTACATGTTAGAAAAACAAAAATGATCTATAAAAAAAACAACAAATATCTATGTATTTGAAATATTAAAAAAAAATTTTTTTTATTGTGTCGATGAGATTTTCTTGTCGGTCGGCTTTAGTTTATTCTTTCTAACATATTTCATAAACGAACGAATCATGATTGTTCACTTTATTCTATAATAATCAAAAGGTTAACCAATAATAAACAAATAACAATAGATGTCACACTATATCGATGAATCAAAAGGTGATGATGAATAAGTTTATAGTAGACAAATAAACGAATCGACTGAGCCGCTACCTTCGATCAATGCATCGACTTACAGGTCTACTTGTTAGTACTCCGAATAGAAAATATCTCTATTATTAATTGAATTAAGAGTTTAGTACAAGTTATATCTTTTTTGTTAGCTTTTTTTTTAATATGACCCACTACATGTTAACAGAATGATGATAAAAGCCCAAAAGTTCATATATCTATTTTTTTGTTAATATTTATTTTCTATGATGAACGTACCATTAAAATAATAAATCAAAATATTTCTATATTTTTTAAAAAATATTTACCCATTAATCCTTATTATTTTAATGAATTGCTACATTCCGTTAGTGTTGAGTAGTATACATTTTCATTAATACGTACTGTTTCCTTACAAGGGAAACGCCCGAAGTGATTCACCGACTTTCAGCTCATGTTTTGAGCATATAAAGAGAATCTCTAGGCTAGAATAACTCTGAAAAAGTTCGAGCCCATAGGCCTTCATAAAAGATACAAGAATCTCATGTATTAGCGATATTCAATATGTCGCGGAGGAAACATTTTTTTCAGCTGGAATTTTTAGAGTATTCTAATTAGAAGTAGACCTATTTGTGGACAACATTTCAGGTCGAAATATTATCAGTCAATTTGTTTGTACTAGTCTAGAGATCTCCTCTATGTGCCTAAAATATGAGCTCAAAATCGGTGAATCACCTCGGGCGATTCCGTCATTAGTACTATAAAATGTAGCAAGTAGTTAAAAAATACAATGAGGCGAATTTAAGTTCAGATCGCAATTTCGGCCTTCACTTGTTAATTTAATTAAGGTTAAATTTTCGATTAAGATTTAATTATTGACAGAGCTAAGAGTAGACTAAGCTTCAATCTAAAGCTGAAAAGGGATATACTTTTCCAATGTTAATGATAGATTATCTAGGGTGAAGGCTCAGAAGCCTCTAGAAGGGAATTACGAAAGAAACTTCTCAATTGACTAATGAATTTTGAATCGAAACTACAGATCCAAATGTGCTATGAATATTCTCAATAGAGCTTAGACTCTTCGCTTATTATTGGCAAGATATTATATTGTTATGGTATTTTATAATAAATACTGTGGTTCCTCTCAGGAAAACTCATGTTTGAAATTCGAGTTGGAACTTTACATAGAGACAGTTCTGCACATTTAACTCGTTCGGATAAATGGATATTCATTCATATATCAAAAATTAATAAAAATCTAAATGATATTGATGATAATGTCAAATTGACATTTTTCTCTTCTTTGTTTTATTTTATTTTTTCAAGATAAAAAAAGTAACAACAACAAGAATTTAATCCTCATCCATATCATTTTCACTTTCTTCTTCACTTGTTTCATCAGGTTCAGAACTTTCTGATATACATCGATTGCATTGACATAAAAACAAATAATTTTCCCTAGAAATATAAAAATTTAATAAAAAAAAACACCTGTTCTTAAATCAAAATCTCTCAATGAAAAGTCATCATGAAATCTTCTCTTTTAATGCAAAGACTCAGACTTTGACACTATTTCTCATAGCCTATCACCTAAATACAATCTTGATCAAAAAAAAAAAAAATAAGCAACCGGACACTTGACTACATTTCCTTGTCAATTGAAAAAGAATAGATTGAACGTCGACACATCGATTCTAATCGATCAAGGTTTGACTGTTGCATTGTAAAAAGTGTTTGTAAGAATTATACAAAATTGAATAAATTTTACATACTGAAGAAGTTTTTGTCTTGAATGTCTTGAACGATTTCGATCACATTCGGATAAATAATTTATTGTAATTTCCTATAAATAACTTTTTAATTATAGTTAAAAAAAAAACAAACGTTTTTATATACTTCATTATTCGATATCAATCGAGTTGCTACGACAGATAATGTTGAATTATTATGTTGATATTGTATTTCAGCATTAGCATCACAACTATGATTTACTAGAAAGGAAAAAAAAGAAAGATTTATCCAAATGACGAGAATCATAACTTACAACAACTTTGTAATTTAAATAATCCACTTCCTTCACAATCAATAAATTCACCAGAAACTAAATCAAATTCAATATATAAAATATTTTTGTAAACAAACAAAATTCTTTATTTTTACCATCATCTATTTTTGTATAAATAGCATCAATAAATTGTGATATATCACTACTTGCTGCTGCAACTGCAGCTGCTTCTTGAGGTATAGATAAAGTTTCACAATTTTTAACCCAAATAGCAAGTGAACTTGTTCCAATGCCTTGTTGATTTCGACCAAGTAAAGCTAATAATTGTCGAAAACCATTCAATGTAAGAAACCATTTAAATTCAACTATTTCCATATATTGTTCATTAAATTGTTCTAAAGCATATCTTAATTGTTCGACTTGAGACTAAATAAAGAATTTAAATAAAAAAAAATAAAATAAAATATAGAAAAACAACTAACTTCAAATTCTTTTCGTAATAATTTATGATAAAATTGTTGATTATCACTTTGAACACTTTGTGAAAATTTTTGAAGTTCTTGAAGAAGTAAAACACGATTATTACTCTAGAAAAAAAACAACTACAACTTCTAATAATCAACAAAAATATTCATTTAATATGATTTTACTTGTTTAAGCATAGCCATTAATTTAAGTACAAGTGAAATTGACGTTGTTTCAGGTGGAGGATGAACATTTCTAATAAAATATAAAAAAATTAAAAAAAAAATTTTTTTTTTATTTTACCTCCATAAATCAATAATATGTCGAATTAATTGATCTTTCTTAGAATTTTCATTTGATTGGCATAATGTTAAATGATAATTATTCATTGCTTGTTGATAACATATTGTTGAACAATACATTTCCTATAATTAAAATAATAATAAAAAAATCGAGAATGATTTTTTGTTTTTAACTCTCTAACATTGCATTTTGGACATCGAACAATTTGTTGATCAATATTTCGATTAGGATCACATTCTGAATGTGGAATTATAATAGATGAATCTTGACAAAGACGACGAACATTTTGTTCACAAGATTCTAATGGATATAAACAATATTCACATGTCTTAAGAAAACAAAAAAACATATTGAATAGAAACGTCTGGATTTTTCAATATTAATTTACAGAATATTTATATAATTTATTCCATTCAAATTGAGCTAAAACAAGTGGTTGTTCTTGAAAAATTAATTCACCACATTGATAGATTCGTTTGGAAATTATTTGTCGACCCTTTATGTTTAAGAAAATCAATAAAATTACATAAAAATTTAAAAAAGAAAAAAAATCCTTATTTTCATACTTTAATTTCATCATTAGCAATAATAAAATCACTTTCATTTATTGATATTATTGTAGACATCTAGAATTATGATTAACTAGAAATATTATATCATTATGTCTTTTGAGAATAACATATAGTTTTAAGGATTTTCGTCAGTCAAAATTTTCATCATCATTTCTATTTTTAAGATTATTGATTAACATTAAATATTTATAGAATTGACATCTGATATGATTAATAATAAAAAGTTATTGATATTTTTTTTAATAATACTTTATGAAAAATTTACAACCTACGATCTTTGTTTCTTTTATTCATAAATATATATATATACTATGACCAATATTTCATAAAACAATTAAAGAATTGCAACAAAAGAAGAAAAAATGAGAAATACTTTAATCACATATTAATATAGGAATGACGATTTCTGTCATGCAGAAAAACAAAACGAAAGCACAGATCAATTTTTTTAATATTGCACAAAAAAATAGAATAGAAGTCTGAGAATTTCTTAATAACAAGTCGCATAAGAAATAGAAGTAGAATTAAATATTTGATAGATTGTATTATGTTTTGTCTTTTGTTTCTATCTGAACAAAAAACCAAAAGAAAACTTTATATTCGCACAAACACAATATTGTTACAATAACAACAACAACAACAACAACAACAAAAATAAATTATAATTTTATTGCAAAAAAATAAAGAAAAATATCAAATCACAAAACATAAAGACGTTTGAGCTCAACAGCTTTTTCTAATATTTGATATACATCAATATCTTGTGGATAATTCTAAAGAAAAAAAAAATTAAAATCAATAAAAACGAAACATATTATTAATTTATATCAACAAACTTGTAATAATTTTATATTTTGTGATTCAGATCCATTTAAAAGACGATCATGTTGAATACTAAAAAAACAAAAAAGAAACAAGACAAATTATTCTTCTTTTTTTCTTTTTGTTGTATTATTAAACTAGTAACATACATAATCATAGCACAACATATATATAGAAGAAATTCGAAATTTCTTTCTTGATCAGCAAATAATGTATCCCATATACGTAAAACATCTGGTAAACGAAATTCTTGTGATAATAATAATGTTAACCAACGAAATGCATAAAATTCTGGTTTAATTTTTTGTTTTTCAAATAAATAATGTACTTTTGGATCAGTTTTTTTTAATAACATTAAAAGTCTTTGCATACGTACAAGAATACCATATTCCGAATGATCATAAATTTTCATAAAATTATCTCGAATATGTATCATTAAATTTGTAAAACAATAAAATGTATCAGCTTCAGCATGTTCTAAAAATAAACGTTTTTTTTTTTTCATCATAGATAATTAAATCAATATATTTAATTTAATTTAATTATGTTAAAATCCAGAATCTGTTTTTTTTTATTAAACAACATAGAGGAAAAATGTTTTAAATTATTCTGGTTGACTTTAGACTTTAGTTAAAAATGTTAATATAACTTTTCAAAAAAAAAAAATCAATATTTTGAATTTGTTTAAGTTCACTGGAATCAAGATAAAACTCTA